TCCAGAATGTGAATCGTATAACGGATTTGCATTCAATCAGCGGTTTAGAGAGTATAATTGCCCATGGGGTATTGGATGATCAGGGGAAAACGCGAATTCGCCCCGAGGATGACTCGATAAGTTAGCTCGAAATTCAGTGATGACGTAACGGTGGAGCACAGCAGGTCGTACTGATGTAATCCAAAATGGACCATCTACGATAAATACAGCTCGCTTCTCTTACCAGGCATGCCAATATATATTTCACTCCAAAGGAAAACAGACTCCAAGGCCCTGAGGAAGGACACAAGCCCCAATCGGCATAAAGCCAAAAACGGCTTGAAAACCGCTCACTATGATCAAATCTCTTGTTGGCAAACCCTGATCTAATAATATCGGAGGCTGCTGTAGTATCAAGCGCTTCGTGGCATGAGTGTGGTCGTCAGATTGCATCTGTTGCTGGACATTGATAAGGAGGCTATTGCTCAAACAAACCAGTCAGTGACCCCCGGTGAAGGCCACTGTTGATGAGTGTAGTCGTCCTACTCACGTAGCCCGAAACGGCCGCAAGCGGACGATCGGGTTGGGAGTTAGTTTAAAAAAGCAGACGCCACCGCACAGAAGTGAAGTGTCTACTCGCACTGGTGATCGCACGAAACTACTGGTCACGACTACACATCCAGGTACCGATCTACACCAGGTATCGAGTAATCAAATACTACTTCGTACCTATGCGGAATATGTACACCAGAATCATGATCTCGGTCCAGCTTCGTGTTGGTAAATACATGCTTTGTATGGTGGGTGCATCGCTAAGCATAGTCGACAGCTGACAAGTAAAAATGAGCTGTTCCCATACCGCAGTGTTAAGGTGCGTTGGTAATCATCTGATCTCCTCATAGTAATTAAAATACTGTCAACAAAGCAAAAGGTCGGTTAGAAGCAATTATATGAAAGATGCAATAAAGCTGGAGAAGAACAAAATATGTGATCCATCGTGATAAGCAGGAAAAGGGAAATCGATGGAATGCGGAGTCCCTACTATTAATACAACCCCTACGCAAAAGACAACGAGTAAACGAGAACAGTGGCAAAGACAGATCACCGTCATTAGCAATGGCAGCACATCTGCCCTCGGTACTGATACCTTGTCACAATACAACTCTTATGGGGACGCCGAAATCTTGTCAACACTAGAAGCCAACCACAAGAAAACAAGATGTTACCGGCGAGACGGATGTATCGCGGATTCCAATGATCTGCGCTATAACTAACCTAACTCCAAGAATATATCATCATCAGCCATGGGAACTGATGCATCGATCATGACAAGAAAACATGCAAACAGTCTCGTTTGGAGACGACAGTCAACGCATTGCTGATGTCAGCTGTGAACCAGGTGATGAGCAGCATCGAACCAAACACAAACTTGATGGGGTGGGCTCCGACTTGGGAAACGAAACAGACCAACAGCACTCAGTGTAGGAAATAGTGAACTCACTTCCCGCTGTGTGCAACTGAGACCTGTTGATTGGTATGTTTCAGAGTATATGTTTAAGCGCTGAGAGATAAACAAGGCAGTGCGGAGTTTCGGTTGAGAAACACAGAGGTACTGTGGAGAGGCTGCGGATAATAAAAGCCTAATGGCCCTGCGGCTGTTGTCAATCATGATGGAAACTACAGGAGATTTGTAATGTGGGTTAGAAACAGAATAAGAGGAACAGGTGCAGAAAACAGAGAATAGAGGCGCCAACAGAACTATGTTTTCGCTACGGTATTCAGTGCACAAGGCGAGTTAATTGCAAATGCATGACGGCCGACGTCGCACAAGATTGCAATGCGGGGATAAAGTCATGGTTGTAGGCAAGCTGTGCTATTGCCAGAAAATCAAGATTTAGATAGGGGGATAATAATAATAAAATAATAATAATAATAATAATAATAATAATAAGGTGCCAGCGGTACGCCGTAACGGCGCTTCGCTGCCACGCGACCACCACCAGTCGCGCGCGGGTTGAATATACCGCGAGGACGCCCACCCCTACGCGGATTCGAACCGGGGATCTTATGGTTGCAAACCAGGTGCGCAGACCACTCGGCCACCGGCCGCGAACAATCATAGCCATCATTCAAGACTGTTAACTCAAAAATCGAATAGTGGCCGAATGGCATAAGGCACACCGCTTTAAATTCCGGTAGGTGCGAGCAAATTGAGGTATCGCTAACGGCGAACCACAGATGGTTGTCGTGTTGCAGCGAAGCGTCGGCACAGTGTTTTCTCAATACCTTCCTTTTTTTCCTCATCCTGTTCAAAATGCTGGCGGTAGAGATTTATGAGATGGGCCAAATTGATAGAAAACAATTCCCCCTGTTCAGCTCCCAATTTAGACGAACGGTAAATAGAATTTCTCTGGCAACCAAGCAATACCAAATCTGGTAAGAGTAGCATTCCAGGTGCTTAAAAGCATAATCTAGCAACGTTAAATGAATGGCAGGGGTTTGATGAGATTCCTCAACACATGCTAGGCTTAAAATGTTTCGGAATACTGGTAGCGGGTTGGTGATTCAATTGTTCGTTTGTTCTCCGAGTTTGGCGATTTTGTCGCAAACGTTTCACCACCATGCGAGGTGGCATCCTCAGTGTAGTGAGACGCGGGGTGCAATATTACTGAATGAATCCCCCATCCATGATCGACTTGCAGGTGACTTGCAAGTGGCAGTCTCGATTTACGTCCCGTGACCTCTACCTACTTTCCCCAAGACTAAAGTCGGCGTCCGAACTGTTCTGCCTTAAACCGCGTGACAAAATGTTCTTTCATCCTTTCGGGAATCGTTAGCAGTGCGCATTCCATCGGATCCTGGTAGGGCCCGAACCCGCAACTCGACTGTTGCCAGTCCGTGGTTGAGACCACTGAGCTACGGGGGACGGCAAGGACCAGCGTGAACAAGTTACTAGATGTGATATGGTGCCGCTCACTAGCCATTCAACTTCCCCTACTACTCTTCTGTAATCAGTACGCAGACCAAACTGTTTACAATGCCATAGGTTAATTAGCGGCTTAAGTTTGGTAAGCTCGTCGCTTGGTGAACGGGCTACCCTGTCCTCTGCATGGCAGTAACGTGTAAATCAGTGGATAATTAGCGGCGCTATATCACATCTAGTAACTTATTCACGCTGGTCCTTGCCGTCCCCCGTAGCTCAGTGGTCTCAACCACGGACTGGCAACAGTCGAGTTGCGGGTTCGAACCCTACCAGGATCCGATGGAATGCGCACTGCTGATGATTTCTGGAAGGATGAAACGCGCGTACAGTGCTTTTCCGGGCGTGTGACGGCTGTCTGAGTGAGTCTAGATGTGACGAATACCTACCTAGACCATTCAACTCCCCTACTACTCTTCTGTAATCAGTACGCAGACTAAACTGCTTATAATGCCATAGGTTAATTGGCGGCCTAAGTTTGGTAAGCTCGTCGCTTGGTGAGGGGGCTACCCTGTCCTCTGCACGGCAGTAACGTTTAAGTCAGTGGATAGTGGGCGGCACCATATCACATCTAGTAACTTAATCACGCTGATCGCTGCCGTCCCCCGTAGCTCAGTGGTCTCAACCACGGACTGACAACAGTCGAGTTGCGAGTTCGAGCCCTACCAGGATCCGATGGAATGCGCACTGCTGGCAATTCCCGAAAGGATGAAAAAAACACGCGGTTTAAGGCAGAACAACTCGAGAGCCCATTTCATTCTCAGGGAAAGTGAGTACATGGCACAAGAGGCAAATCGAGACTGCCACTTTCAAAAGTCAAATGCAGCTCGACCACGCATGGCCGAGTTATGCAGTAAGATTGCACGCCGCATCTCACTGCAATGAGGATGCCACCTCGCATGGTGGTGAAACGTTTGCGACAAAACCGCCAAGTTCGGAGAACAAATGAACAATTGAAACATATTAGGTTGTTAGATGAAATGGTCTATTAACTAAGGTAATGCCCCAACGTCCGAATGTGTCCTTGAGAGTAGTCAGCATGGGCATCAGCAGCACGACGGTACATCGCACCGACGTTGCGCTGCCACGTGACCACCACCATTAGCACGTGGGCTGGATTTATCGCGAAGGCACCCACACGTACGCGGATTCCAACCAGATTACGAGGCAACTGCCTAATTGCGTCAACCACCGGCCGAGAACTAGCATGAGGAGTCAGCTCAATCGATGGATAAGATCTGAATGGATGCGACAGTGTGACGAGTCGGAAATGTAGGTATGAACTTAACAGAAACAACCAGTGCAATTGGTCAAATTTTAAGTAATGCGCGAATAAGTCAATGTCACGTGTGTCGTACAGGTTAACATGAACGGGTTTTGGCCAAATCCGACTGAAAAGCCGAGCTACGGTAGTTTAACGGAGATCTGTGAAGTGTAAAATCACTGCATCCGACATAGACAAACACATTAAAGAGAGCAAATGCGATTCCGATGTAACTTAACTCAAACTTGTTCAGAAGCATAACTCAAATAAGACTGAGTAGATAAGAGGCGAGATAATATGCAGCAAAGGTGCAATAGATTGATCAAGATACAAGCCACTGAAACCGGGAAGGCCTAAGTCAGTACGGTCGCGCTCCGACAAGCAACGTAATTTTGTGTGACGTATTGAGCCATAATATTAATGACGAAGGATAGGCTTCTGCGGCCACAAAAATGCTGTCACCAACGCCGTGTTGCGTTCCACACGAGCAGCATTTACAAAAAACCAGAAGCGGGGGCAGTGAACAAAGTTGCAACACTAATGCAGCTACTTCACGCCTCGAAATTGTGCGCATCGTCGAGGTGCATGAATTAAGAATCACAACCGGGGCGAAGACAAGGGTAGCACTATGATTTCAATGTGGAATGAAATAAGATATCACGGACTGTGACGCAAGATAGCATATCTGCTGACAAATGTAGCTTAACAATGCGCATATCCATATAAAACATCATCCGCACTAGCAAGTGGGAGGCGATGGTGGTGAAGAACAATAAGTGAGTGAACACACATATATTTTGAGGAAAGAACACCAATTTACCCATCATGTTTGCGTAAATTAAGTCCTCGTATAAGCAACTTCAATGCGCCCCGCTTCGAGGCGGCTAGTTCATGCAGAGAATCAGAGAGAAGTCCAGTGTCTCTCCAAGAAAGGTCATTCGTAGACAAGTGTGAACAGATAAGCTCCAGAAAAACGATAGTATATATACCGCAATCGCAAGAGTTGTTTTGTACAACGACAGGTAGATGTTTGACATACACCAGATCAGGTTTCTGATAGTAGGCAGCGAGTGCAGTAGCCACTTTAACTGCGCTGCGGTAATTCGCATCAGACTGCAAAGTATCCAAATGATAAGCTTCACCAAGAGTGGGAGATAAAACCAGTAAGGACCAATGTGTGCCTTCGCAGAAAGTCGACATGGAGTCATTTACAATGCAAAAGATCCAGCTCTTTCCTGAAGATCCGAGAGATTCCATCAAGTCTGTCACTGAGGTGTAATCACCCAATTTAACAAGTTGGGTGACGGATGGATCAAGGAATAGAATGTTGCTATGCTCCCCAAAGACAGTGCGCCGCATGTACTCCAACACAAAAGACAAAATATTGTCGTTAATCCAGTGTCCCTCATTCAGCGTTTCGAAATCATCCGACCGGAGGAGGCAATCGAAGTAGTCCAGAACAACTCCCATTGGGCGGCGAACGGAAAATAAACTAAGGTGGGAAAAAATGTATGAGATGAAAAAAGACACCAGCGAATGAGAGAGTACCAACGAGCAAATAATAAATTTGGAACCGAAAGATGGAAGATTAGTTTAAGCAACGAAGATGTCTAACTGAAAGCAACTGTGTCTAGATAGCAGAATGAAGCAACACAAATGCAACGTCTGAAAGGATAACCCTATGCCAGTGAAACAGGTCTGTGCAGATAAAAATAAACAATGTGTTAGTTGTACGCCGTAACAGCGCTTCGCTGCCGCGTGACCACCACCAGTTGGCCGAGTGGTCTGCACGTTTGCTTTGCAACCATAAGGTCACCGGTTCGAATCCGCGTAGGGGTGGGCATCCTCGCGGTATACTCAGCCCGCGCGCGACTGGTGGTGATTGCGCGGCAGCGAAGCGCCGTTACGGCGTACAGCTGACACAGTAGTCGCGCGCGGACTGAGTATACTACAAGGACGCCCACTTCGAAGCGGATTCGGACCGGTGACCTTATGATTGAAAGCCAGGTGTGCAGACCACTTGGCCACTTGCCTGTGCAGAGAGAATATAAATGGAACATAGCAATGAAGACTGGTAGCTAAGGTTGTTCAAATGGCTGTTGAACTGTTCGCTGAGCTTGGCAATTTCGTTGCAAACGTTTCGTCACCAATCGAGGTGACATCATCAGTGCGTAGTTGAGTGGCGTGCAATAGCGTAGAGTAGTGCAAAGCAGCCTCGGTGAGAGTACTGTGATGGGATAGTAGGCCGATGCACAGTATTATAAAGGCCGGCGCACCATGACGGCGTAGAACCTGACAACAGACTCCTCTGACCAAATGTGGAGCGTTCGCTCTAATGAACAAAGCATGCGTAGGCTGACACAGTAGAGCTTGTGCGTATTGCGCGACGACTTCGTCTCATCGGGACAATACTCCAAGGTCTCTTACCGTCGCAGCAGAGCACAGTCGTAGTCCAACGATATTGTAAGTTCTGTCATGACAGTACTTGAGAATGCTGAGTAATTCGGACTTTTCAGGATTCAATGGAAGATAGTTGGTTGATGCCCATGAAGATATTCCATCGAGAACACGTTGCAACAAATCCACATCGATAGGTGTCGTTATTCCCTAAAAACCTTCAAGTTATCGGCAAAAAACGACAAGTAGATCTCAAGCATCCTCGTAAATCATTGGTATGAAACAAGAACAGCGTTGGATCAAGCACTGTAACCTGTGGCACACCACTAGGGACAGTAAAGCATAATGTTCGGTAGTTCTTGACCTGGAGGTACTACTGTCCCTCGTGCAGAAAAGATTGCATGCGTTTCAAGAAGTTCTCACTCACGCTCTAATCACAGAGTTTATATAGTAAGATAAAGTGATGATGATGAGGGGACTCTAATAAATGCTTTGCTAAAGAGGATCAGTTAGGCATGTACAATTTCCCCTTTGTTGACTGCTTCAATCCAACTGTATCAGGAAGTCAGAAGATTCGTAATACAAGATCGTCCTCACAGGAAACTATGTTGAATTACTGTGAGCACACTGTGTGATTCTGGGAACTCAAGCAGTGCCCTTTTGATTACGTTCTACAGCTAGTTAATCAAATCAGTCCATAAAGTTCCATCTTGCTTTTATTGTCATTTTTTGGCAACGGTCGTACGATCGCTTTCCTCTATTCCCATGGGACGTTCCCTTGTGCCACAGAGGCCATCATCATATCATCATACTACACGTTAGCTGGAGGTGGGGAGCACCTCAGCTACTGTGCCGCAATACATAGAAAAAAGGAGAAAAAAAGCAACTGGTGCAAGCCGGCTGAGCTACCGGTAACGGATGGGCATCGTTCTGGTAAGCTACCAGCCGGCTACTGTGCATTAAAAAAAATTGCTACGCAAAATTATGTAAGGCTAAATGATGAGATCGTGGTTGGAGGGGGAGGCTAAGAGGGATGGGGTGGGACAAAGAAACTCACAGCACGAACGCAACTGAGGCCGGCTCCTTGCCATGTCAGCAAGTGTCCAGCCAAACGTGTTCATCGTCTTTCGGACAGAGGCCATAAACAATTCCGTCACTGTCGGGGAGACAAGAGGTGTCAGCCATTTGAGAAGCAATGGATGTAGGCCATACGGTTCTGGCGGTTTGGAGCAATAAAGAGATTACTTTGCAATCACATTATTTCCTCCTCCGAACATGATAACGGTAGGTAGTTTGGCATCGATTTGGGTACAGTTCAAATGCTGGAACAGCTGTGTCGAACATTGGCTCGGAATGTAAAGCAAGTGCGGCGGTCAAAGCTCACCAAGTGAATTTTTTAAGCAAGTAATTCGTCAGCTGGTTTAAACTTGCGTTTGGAATACGTAAAAATATTTTTGGGTGTCACTTTCGCAGTTTCTGATAAGCGGTTTCGTTAGTTGCACGCTTCTGTAGTTTCACTGAGTTGCAGCGAGTAGGTTGTGTTTTGTCAACTGCGTAATCTTCGGCGCTTCCAAAACTTCACACGTCGCATCGATAGTACAACAGATTCCCTATCAATCCATGGCGGCCTGCTCCAACATTTAACTGGTGTTAAAAGAGCAATCTAGCTTAATCACTGAATAAGATTGTGTTTCAGCACCTCGCAGCACGCCTCTACACCGTCATACAAGAGCAGTGTATGCAGCAGTACTCAGTAAGCGATTCTACTTAGGATTCCAAATGTACCGACGGGGCAATCGTACTGATCCTGAAGATGGTAAAAGGACGACTGAAATGGTGGACTGGTCACTGGACCCAATGGGTTCAAATACTCTAATGGATTCGATTAGTTACACACCGCTAGTAGAAATGAGATCAAAGCAACTTTCAGGTCGCCCCTGAAGCTGTCTTGTTGGTTGCAGGATGTGTCGCACAGTATTCATTGTCGTCATCATATCAACAAACGTGCATTCGGAAATGCCACTGCCAGGCAAGATTCCACACTGTAACCGATCAACATGTGGAGAATTAATATCACCCAATAACAGAAATTTACGGCAGTTCAAACGCTGCTGCACGTCGATCCAATCGCAAGAAGTATTTGCGGGACTCCGGCATATAGCGCTCACATTTAGTTCATTCGGCCTAACAGTTGCTCTGCACCAAAATTGTTCGCACACACCGTCAGAACAATGATGCGTGGACATGAGTTCTTGACGCATGCCGGAATTTATATACAACAATACGCCACCGTGAGTGCCCTTGTGTTTTTCGCATCAGAATGTCGCGTACCCATGGATGTAAATTTCGGGATCAGTAATATCGGCGTAGAAGCATGTGTTAGTCAGACGAAATATACCCGAGCAATGCTGTTCTACCCAGAGAAGTAACTCATCAAACTTATTGGTAAGACTGGAACCGTTCGTAAGCGCCACAAGAAGACCAGCAACTAGCTTTGGGGGCGCATCATTAGCAGGACCGGCATGTTTAGCAGCTGGTGCTTGTGCACTATTGGAAAAATTACGACCTGCATGTCGCCTACACGTCGTTGGGTTCGTTGTCTAAGTTCACTGACGGCAGTTAAAAGACAGTTCCATTCTTCTAAAGTGAGGTCGCGAGCATGTGAATTTCTAGATCTTGTAAAAGTCAAAGTCGATTGAGAAGACGTACAGGAGTAACGTCGTTCTCATAGAGAATTCGCAAAGGATGAAAGGTGTTTGGAGTCCGTTACACCAAAGGAAATATTAGTTTTATATGAACACCTTGCTCATCGGGGTCCAAGAATTTATCGATCAAAATTTGTAAAAATACAACATGATCATAACGGATTTATGGCTCGGAATCTGCAGACTCCGTGAGTAGAACAAACCGGTTTCAGATAACATGGAGCGTCTCTCAACGGTGCGCGGATCCCCGCTGTAGGTCTCATGCTTGCGACACTCCACGGTGGCCTATTGGTGGTTTCATAGTCAGCTATTGCAGCAGAACGTGATTATTCAGAGTTGACAGCCATTTTGTCTGGGTTGTCGTCTGAAGAAATCCCATTGTGCGGTAAAACTGTTCAGGTCAGGTCAAGTCAAGGTCCAATGAGGAGACAGGATTCCACCTAACGAGCGACCTGTTTTTTGTGCTGATAAATGAACCAGAGTCCTCAGCACCTAGACGTTTAATCGCCTCTGATTGATTCCTCAAAAAGAAATGAAGCAAGAACGAGAGCAATTTTTGCATTTTTATGTGTCCACAACAAATACCACTGTGAAAGGTCTTGCCACTAAATTTTAATAAAATTACACTATCTCTGGAAAAAGATGAGACCAACACTTATCTATACTTCAATTGAAGGCTACTTATCATCATCGTCAATACATGTTGGATGAAGGTGAGAAACACTTCAACTGCTGTGTCGCAATACACAAAGATAAGACATACGAAAAAGCAGTAAACTGAAAATTATAGAACGCAAAAAACACGAAAGACTATTCAGTAACACATTACGCGTCAAGAGGGAGATCGTGGTTGGAGTGGGAAGACAAGCGGGATGGAAAAGGACGAAGAAACTCACAACACAAACGTCACTGAGGTCGGTTTCTTGGCACGTCGACTAGCGTATCCAACCAAACGCGTTCATTGTCTTTCGGGCTCCAGCCAGGTAATCGAGATGCACCAACCGACGCTAACTTCGAAGTGAGGGTTTTAATTGCTCTCGACCAAGTCATCACTTGGCCTCCTCAACTCTTCTATCCATACCCCCGGCGCGCAAACGCACGATGCGGGAGTCGGTGGGCAGGCATGCGGAGCCAGGTGCGTGATATAATGGTGCTAAGCGGTGCACTCACTTCCTACACCAAATATACAACGCCGCAGACAACGCTCATGCGGTGTTCGCACCAGACATGAACTAAACTGCGAAGGCAGCGATAGTCGAATGTAGTTAGCCACTTTGTCTGTCGACCTGATGAGCCAGATTTCACTATTGTATAAGAGGGTTGAAAGGATGGCCGCATTATAAACTCGGGCTTTAAGGGAGAGGGTGTTGTCGCGTCTGCGCCACAGGTGG